TTCATAAATTTGGGGATCGCATTAAGCAACTACGACAGAGGCAAGAGACTATCCGAAATAGGAGGGACCCGGCTGCATTGGCTGAGATCCAACAGATTGATGGTCAGGTGAGCTAGCTAGAGGCCTAGGAAGATGTGTTTTGGAGACAACGAGCGAAGCAGCACTGGCTTCGCGGTGCAGATGCCAATACAAAGTTCTATCACAGGTATGCTTCTGCTCGTAAGAAAAAGAATTTTATTACTAGAGTTAAGAATGATGCTGGAATGTAGGTTGAAGGGGATAATATGAATTCAGTTGTCTTGGATTATTTTAGAGCTCTTTTTACCTCCAGTAATTCAAGTTGTGAGGATCCCCTTTTTAATAATTTCATCCCCCGAGTATCTCATGAACAGAATGCTTCATTGTTAGATCCTTTTGAAACTGATGAGGTTAAAACAGCAATCTTTTCTATGTTTCCTGATAAAGCACCAGGCCCGGATGGAATGAATCCGGGCTTCTATCAGCATTTTTGGAATGTGGTTGGGGAGATGTATTTGGTTTTATAACGAATTGTTTGAATTCATGTACTTTCCCAGAAGGACTGAATTGAATGATACTAATGTTGTTTTGATTCCTAAAAAAAGTGTGCCTGATACGGTAGCATATATGAGGCCTATTGCATTGAGTAATGTTATTTACAAGATTATGACAAAGATGATAGCTAACAGGATGAAACCACTTATGGGGGGACCTAATCTCGGAATTCCAGAGTGCTTTTATTCCAGGTAAGCTTATCACATATAATATCTTGGTAGCAGCAGAAGTGGGTCATTATTTGAATAGGAAACAGTGTGGGCTAACGGGTTGGAGTGCACTTAAATTAGACATGTCAAAGGCCTATGATAGAATGGAGTGGCAGTTCCTAAGGAAAATGCTGGGTGTTATGGGGTTTGATGACAGTTGGATTAAACTGATTATGCTTTGTGTGACAACTGTTAGATATACTGTAATGTTGAATGGCGTGGCTGGGAGACAGATAACACCGTCTCGCGGACTCAGGCAAGGTGACCCTCTTTCTCCCTATTTATTTATTATCTGTGCAGAGGGGCTTTCTATGTTACTACAGAGGGCACAGATCGCAGGTTCTATACATGGATGTAGAGTGGCTAGAGGGGCACCTCCTATTTCACATTTCTTTTTTGCTGATGACAGTCTATTGTTTTTCAAGGCGAATATCCAGGAAGCCAGTGTTATTAAACAATGCCTAATAATGTATGAAAAATTATTTGGTCAAATGGTGAATTTTAATAAGTCAAGTATTTGTTTGAGTAGCAATACCCCCCGAGGGAGACAGAGAAGAAGTGGCGGATTGCCTCGAGGTTGAACAAGCAGCCAATTTTGGAAAATATCTTGGCATACCGTCTTTTGTAGGCAGGAATAAAATGGTAGTTTTTGCTTATGTGGAAGATAAGATCAGACAGAGGATTGGTTCATGGAATAAGAAATTTCTCTCCCAGGCTGGTAAGGAAGTACTTTTGAAAAGTGTGGCCCAATCTATGCCTACATTTTCTATGAGTGTTTTTTTGCTACCTGAGACAGTTTATTTATCTATTGAGAAAACAATGAATAAGTTCTGGTGGGGAAATTGCGCAGAAAGGGTAATACATTGGACGGCTTGGGATAAATTATGCATCCCTAAGAAGTTTGGTGGGTTGGGGTTTAAAGACCTACATGCTTTTAATCTGGCTATGTTGGGGAAACAGGCATGGCGTTTTCTTACGGACCCAACCACGTTAGCTACAAGGGAATACAAGGCTCGTTATTATCCTAATACCACTTTTGTTGATGCAACTATAGGGAATTGCCTGAGTTTCTGTTGGCGGAGTATTATGGCTGCGCATGATCTGGTCTGTTCTGGGGTACGTGATTGGTAATGGGAGGACAACCCTGATCTGGGGGCATCCTTGGCTACCAGATGACCCCAGCCCATTGGTTCAAACAATTATGCCTGAAGAATTGAGAGAAGCACTAGTGGCTGGCCTAATTGACCAGCAAACAAATACCTGTGATCCGCATATTTTATCTGATCTGGTTCCTGAGGATGTAAACTAAATTACTATGATCCCTGTTAGCCTGGATTATGAAGACTCATGGTATTGGATTGACGACTCAAAAGGAATGTACACGGTTAAAAATGCCTATAGGCGTATTGTTGGTGATTTTGATTATAACCTAGGTCCTTAATTTTGATAAATGGGTTACATTATGAAAGTTGAAGGTACCACCCAAATGAAAGACTTTTTTATGGAGAGCTATATGTGATATTCTTCCCACCACTGATAATTTGATTATAAAGAGGGTATAAGTGGATCCTGCATGCCCAATGTGTGGGTTGGCACATGAGGATGTTATGCATACTCTACTAATCTTTTGTGATTATTCTAGGATAGTTTGGGATATTTCAAAATTACCTATGACAAATATTATGTCTCAATTGTTTCCAACATGTCTTATGGGAATGTTGAATATCTTGATAGAGGAATAATGCGGTCTTGTTGTGGCCGTGATGTACCATTTGTGGAACGCCCGCAACTCGGCAGTGTGGGAAGGGGCACTCTTGCGGCCTAGCCGTACCTGGACGCGAGCTGCAATGGCCGTGAACACATACCGGCAGGTCCATTGTTGTCTCCACCAACCTGCGCATGCGACGGTAGCTACGGACGAGATACACACAAGGCCGAGATGTTTTTTCGATGCTGGATTCAGGCTGTAAACCGGAGAAGCTACATGTGGAGTAGTGTTGCTATCCCACCACGGTTCCTTTATAGCGGCAACGTGTGGCAAGCTACCCGACACTTTCTCACCCATTATGGCGGAGGCACTTGCTTGCAAAGAAGCTCTTTCTTGGCTCAGGGAACGGAATATGTTAACGGTCGATCTTCTTACGGATTGCTCATAATTGCGGAATGCCTTATACTCAAGCTCTATGGCCACCTTGTCCTATGTTGGTGTTATTGACTTATTGTTGACCAATGTAGGACATCTATATCGTTATTTACTCAATGTTCTTTGAATTATATTTCTAGAATGTTAAATTTACATGTTCATACTTTAATTTAGCTTCGTTAGCATTTTATCAGGACCAGTCTATGTATTGAGATTCTATCCCTCCTGACTCTATTGCTATATTGATTCATTAATATATCGAAGTTATTTTTGCATTCAAAAAAAAATTAAAAACATTAATATGCTATTTTTGTATGTAATTTCATATTGTATAACAATTAGCTCACTTCATTAAAAAAAGAAAAAAAAAAAGTCACATTCCCAAAACAAAATAGTAAACCCCGTAAAAAGTGGGATTATAAGTATCAATAATGATACCAAAACGTGGCCTATACGGGTCAAACATTATAGTTTATACTCTTCGTCTCTTCCCATTTCTTCGCCCTCAATCATACTAAAATTCTTCTTTTTTTTTTTTTTTTTTTTTTTTTTTTTTTTTTTTTAACACCATACTAAAATTCATAATAATACTATTTTCCCTACTAAATTTATTACTACCCTTTGACCTAAAATTGTTTACTAAATCTTAAAAATAAATTTTCTTTATTTTTAAATTGATCAAATATGCATTCAAAAAACAAAATTGATCAAATATACCCCAAATTAATAAAGAATTCATATCATAATTAAATATAAAAAAGAATATTTTTTTTTTAGTACTACTGACTCTGTTACAATGTAGCATATGTTCATAACTAATTTTTCAACCTACTAAGCACAAAGAATTCAATATAATAATGTGTCAATGAAAAAATATTGAACGGTGATTTTTATATAAAAATATATTTGTATTTTCCTTAAATTTACTTAAAATTAATTGTCTAAAAGTTTCTATAAAATTTCAAGAGAAACATTCTATGAAATTCAATTCGAAATAGCTTCCCTAAGAATTTTCATGCTTACCCTAAAATTTGATGAATTATTAATTGACTTGCAAAAACTTATTGTGCCTTACATAGTTACATCACTATCTCTTATGTTGTGTTCTTATTTTTCACCATATTTTCCAATAAAGCTAGTGAAATATAAAATTGTATGAAAATATATATTTATGAAGAAAGGTCAAGTAAGTTTTAAAATTATTTATACACACTTGATTGCATCATCAAATCGTAAAAATTAAAGTTTCACATAAGCATTTACAGTCTTATGAAAAATGATGCAATTAGAACTTTTATCATTATAAGTGTAACCTAATGAATTGACATCCACATATAAGATAAACTTAATATAGTGATTTTATTTTTTTCAATTTAATTTGTTAATTTATATCTTCTTTTTTTTTTTTTTTTAATGTACCTTCTCCTAATCCCGAATTTGGACGAGGATGATGCCATCCTCACTTACCCATGGCAACAATAAAGGATGACGATGAAAGGTCCTTGTCCATGGCTGCCAATATAATGGCAATGATATATAACGAGCAAGGCCAAAGCAACCACGGGCGAGAACCTTTCATCCCATCCATGGATGGCGGATGCCATGAACTAACGAAAACTTTCGTCTTTATTTTAGATATATGAAATCAAAATGTAGTCCTCATCTATTTCACAAAATTACAAAGCAATACTTAAAATTTCAACAAGAACCATGGAGTATTATTGTTGAAAATACACAATCATCTCAAGAGTCCCCCAGAAAAACTTATTATTATCACATGTTTTTAATTTTTTTTTTTTTTGAAAATCACATGTTTTTAATTTAATTAAACCATACTTTACATTTCCTAAAAGTTAAAGCAAAATTTTGTATATATATATATATATATATATATATATATATATATATATATATATATATATTTGGCAAGACAAATTTTAAATAAAGTGACATGTCCCCTACTTTATTAAAAATATTTATAATCAACAAATTAAAAAGTAAAAACTATCTAATTTGTTTCGCCGTAGACTACTACAAGCGAAGCTCTTTCCTACTACTGCTGCTTAGATTGACGATCAGGCACAGGAAATACCCACCGGAGCCGGCTTGAAGCGATCGGAGGCCGTTCTCCGAACAAAGGGCCCAATCTCCGGCGAAATCCTGTCGTCGTACTCCGGGATCTCCGACAACGCGGCGGCGGACTTATGATGTCTGGGGCGGAACACGGACTTGAGTAGCTTCTGAAGCGAGCGTGAAATCTTGGAAGATGATTTCTTGGAGGCGTAAGGGTGCGGTGGCGGCGGGGGAATAATCCGGCGGTCGGATAAGTGGGGCATGGAGAGAGTTCTAGAAGATATGGCGGAGTGGAGGTGGCGCTCGAAGGATTTTAGCTCGAAGGAGTCGTAGAGTGAGCTGCCGCAATCCCATATGGCTTTCTCTCTTCCCTTTTCTCCTTTCTCCATGTTTTCTGTAACCTGCAAAAATGATGATTATATTGATGAAGAAGCTTTAGCTCTAGTACTATCCCATATATATATATTTGCTAGGAAATATTTCTTTTTTCCTTAGCTTTTTCTCTCTCCTTTTTCTTTTTGTCTTTTTTTTTTCCCCCTTTTCTCTCTACATTTCTTTTTGACCCGTTGAAAATAAATGGGAATTGAAGGAATTTTATTATGTTAGCATATATACATATATCACTAGATAATATATGTTTTTTTATACACTAGATAATACAACATATGTTAGACAAATTCTAAGTTTCAGAACTTCTCTTTAAGAGTTATTGGATCAGGTAAATGATATATGTTTCATTTTATATTATATATTTAGCGTATTTATATATATAATAATGACTTTATGCACAAACTTTATGATCAAAAGTTTATGCACAAACAACAAAATGACTAAATGTTCTAAACTTCATAATTATATATATGGTTAGGTTCCCGAGCGGTCGTGTGATCACTCACCATTAGGTACGCATAAATGCACCATTACGTGTAGTGTATTTTGGAGTGTATTTGTGCATTTCATTCTTATTTAATACATTTATGAACACTGTGTAATGCATTATGTATGCATAATGGTGCGCTCCGCACGGAAAGCTCTATCCGCATGTGATCCAGTATATATATATATATATATATATATATATATATATATATATATATATATATATATATATATATATATATATATATATATATATATATATTATCAAAAAGAATATTCTATAAGAAAATTTCAATCAAGTTGGTCGGATATATAGTTGGCTTAGTAACCACAAGATTTCAAGTTCAACGCCTTATAAGAGCAATCTATCTGTTTATGACTTTAACAGCTAGGGTCAAAGTAATATTTTATAATATTTCACGTCTTATGTCCTCACACAAAAGTTACTCTTTTTGGTGTAAACCATACTGGGTGAAGCTGGTCCAAAATGAATCATCATTTGTGGGAATCAAACCCGAGTTATCCCAAAATTCTCCTCACAAAGAAAACTCATTTACCACTTGAGCTACCCTATTGGGTTACACAAAAGTTACTCTATTTTGGTATATCTTTGTCTAATTTACATATATAGTATGTGGCTAATAAGTATAAATGATAAATAACATATTTATAAAATCTATGCTCGCATGATCTAAAAAATAATTTATGTGTTTTATTTGATAAACAAAACTTGGATTAAAATTATTTACAATTTATTTCTTGTAATTTTGTATACTAGAAATTAGAAATTACATTAAAAATATTTATTAAATACAAACAATTGAATTTTAAAAGAGCAAATACCAATTTTGGTCCCACGAGTATTAGCAAAATGACAGTTTTGATCCACATATTTAATTTCTACCAGTTTTCATCCACGACTATTGTTTTAGTACCAATTTTCATCCACGATTATTGTTTTAGTGTCAAAATTCATCACACCGGTCACCCCTATGTATAATATATGCCGAAATATGAAATTGTTAATGGTATTTTCGTCCTCTTGAAATAAAGATCCCAATTTGAGCATGAATAAAGGGATTCAAGCCCTAAGATCGATCTCAATTTACAGTTCTCATCCTTAAATTAAGGTAGGATGAGGAGGAGAACTGCGAAATGGGATGATCTTAGGGCTTAAATTTCATTATTCATACTCAAATTGAGATCAGATCTTAAGTTGAAAATGATGAAAATTCTCTTAAAAGTTTTAGATTTCAGCATATCTTAAACGAATGATTGACCAGCGTGATGAGTTTTGCACTAAAACAATAGTCGCGGATGAAAATTGGTACTAAAACAATAGTCGTGGATGAAAATTGGTATTAATTAAACATATGGACCAAAACTGTCATTTTGCTAATACTCGTGGGACCAAAATTGGTATTTGCTTATTTTTAAAATTATAAGAAAATACTCCGTATCAACTAGAAAAACGAAAGAAAGAATAATGGATTTTACTAATGAATAATAAATATAATAGATAAAAATTTACAAATAGTAATAATTTTATTTATTTCTCTGGAAATTCAGCTAAATAAGATTTGTAATTGTTTATATAATGTGAGTGTGAAGTCTGAACGTTCCAAGAACTTGCACGGAGTTTATGGGCAGAAGATGGTTATGGTTGGTGATGGAGACTTTGATGCCATTAGTTTAATCTAAAGTAGACATAATTTTCTTTGAGGACACGTTTTTGAATTATTTATTTCTTGTTAATAAATTATTTATTAAAAATATACTTTACACGTATAATACTGGATCGGGGAGATCACAGGTTTTCTGGAGTCTACGTCTTTTGGAATTGATATATTATGGAAGTATTAATTAATTAATTAATTAATTAATTATTGGAATTGATATATCAAGAAAGGATTAATTAATTTTTAGAATTAACCCAATGGATAGTTCAAGTGGCAAATGAGCTCTCTTTGTGGGGGAGAATTTTGGAATAACCCGGATATGATTCCCGCAAGTGACGATTCCCTTTGGGCCAGTTTCTGTGCCTCTCGGAGCGAACCGGGTGGACCTGGACCACGTCGTGGTTTACATAAAAAAATAATTTTTAGAATTGATGTGTCAAGAAGAATTAATTAATTGTTTTCAAAAAAATAAATTAATTATTTTTTATGCTAGTGATCGATCTTGTGATTTAGTGGTATGAAGTGACCGTATTTTGCTAAATGAAATACCATTAGGACTAAGTGTGAACTTGATATAAAAAAAGAAATATTTGGTGCCTTAGTGTATCAAGAATTGGAAGTTCTTCTCTCCGTAGTAGGTGCATTTAATTTTGGGATGCAAATTGAAGGTGTAGTGGTAATGTAGTATTATCAATCCTCAATTGACCAATCTTTTATAACCTAATTGCAAATTTTCACAATCATTTTTTTTTTTTTAGCATTTCTTCCTTTCCAAAACATCATTTTTAAACTTGTTCTCTAAAATTCCTCAACTCCTCCATGGCTTTATTGCATCAAACTCCATCTCCATATATATTTCCCATGCATGGTAGACACTAAAATTTTGAAACATGATTATTCTATTCTATACTTCCTCAAACATTTTCAACTCAAAAAATCTAAGTCCCTACCACCGAAATTCGAACATATGACCACCCATTTGAAAGGGTAACCGGAATGTCATTACACTACATAATAGTTGACTTTTCTTTAACCATAGTATAATCAAATCTTCCGAGCTCAAAAAGAATGCCCAATCACCAAAATTGAAGATCAAGAATATGATACCTAAATTAAGTACTATCCTTTATATCCTCCAAGTTGTAAAGAGTATACTAAGGTGATCAATAACATGCTACATTCATTCTATAATAAAAATTAAATACCGAATGTTAGTTTATTCCTTAATTTGAATTATTTTTCATATTTAAATCTATTTTCATATCATTCTTAAACTTAATTATTGAACAAATTATGAATAATCCAATCCAATCCAAAGTGGTTAGGGGGATTGGCAGCTGAATACCAGATCAATAATGAAGTCAACGGGTAGAGTATCTTAAAAGCATATTTCTTATAAAATGAACAACTTAATTTAGGGTAAAGAAACTTAGGGCCAAGACAATATATGACAACAGTTGTCTGAATATGAAGTTTTTGTCATGGTCTTCGATGGGCTTAGAACTAAAAAGATACAAACAAAGTTAACAATTTATTAATTTGAGAAGATAACAGAAATTACGTATGTAATAATGTCTTCCAATAATGGCAACAGTACAGATAGAGTTTGAATATATAATCCGAGACGGAGCCAAAAATTCTGTTGAGCCGGGGCGAAGAAGTAGGGACGGGCCCATAAAATTTTTTTGAGTGAAGGCGAAACATGAAAACAAAAGAGATAATTTTAAAAAAAAAAATTACTCAAGAAATATAGGTATAAATATTGTTTGATATGAGTGAAAAATAAAACACATCAAAATTTTATAAAAATATTCATAATAAAATATTTGAAACATAATTAATTTGATAAAATAATTTGAATAGAGAACAAATTATAAATTACACGTCTCATAAAAAAAATTACCTAAGAAATATAGGTATAAATATTGTTTGATATGAGTGAAAAATAAAACACATCAAAATTTTATAAAAATATTCATAATAAAATATTTGAAACATAATTAATTTGATAAAATAAATTGAATATAGAACACATTATAAATTACAAGTCTCATTATTAATATAAAAGAATGTTGTGTGTAGGTGGGGGGGCGCTGGGGGGAGATCTATGAAACTACCAATAAAGGATTCAAAACTTAGACCTTCATTGTAACTAAACATGTGCTCTGCCAACTAATTTAATTCACTTTTTGTTAACATTCATATGTTTCTTTATACTAATACTAAAACTTGTACTATATATATGTATACATACACAGCTTATATATGGGGTGGGGGGGTGGGGGGTGGGGGGGGGGGTATCACAACCCTTTTTAGTAGCAGAAGTATTTACTAGTTCTCTAGGAAAATATGTTGGTCTAGCAGAAACAATTAGAGGATTTCAACCGATCCTTTCCGGCGAATTAGATGGTCTTCCTGAACAGGCCTTTTATTTGGTAGGTAATATCGATGAAGCTACCGCGAAGGCGATGAACTTAAAAACTTAGAAATGGAGAGCGATTTGAAGAAATGACCTTAAAATTAAACTTTGTGCACTGACCCCTAATCGAAGCGGGCTCCGTCCATGTATATAATTTTATTTGTCTAATATATATTGCATCAATTAATTTTTTAATGGTTAGCTTGAAAATTTGAAAAAATATTTTTAAAAGTTATTTTTGGTGTAATACTCATTATGTTCAGAGGAAAAAAACACATTTTGACGAAAAATGTCTTTCTAAATTTTTACTTAGACTCTCTCTCTCTCCTCTCTCTCTCTCTCTCTCTCTCTCTTTTTGATATGCTATTATTATTTAAACTGAGTTGAACTGACTTGATTATAATATTGGTTC